TTCGGCAGCGGCACAATGGATGACGGCGTCGTTGCGGGAGAGAAAATCCCACCCCAGGATGACGTCATGAGAGCATGCAGGAATGATGATGAATTGGCCGACATACAGAACGTCCTGAACGACAACGCGAGCTGTGCACTCTGCTGTAGTATGGATACGATGCGAACCGGCAGTACGAAGGGACAACCCAGAAATTGGCGTCGTCACTTTTCGAAGCAAGCGGCAAAAGTTTTCGTCCATAACGGATACTGCAGCTCCAGTGTCAATAAGAGAAGATGCATGAACACCGTACACAAGCACGTCTATGACATTAGATGGGCGGCTCTGAGGGCTTTCATATTGCAACAGCATCGCAGTCCTTGCCTCGGGGACTGCGACGACTAGTTTTCCCGCTCATGAGTAGCCGAACTTGGCCTCATGAGGGACAGGGAACGACGTCGTGGAGACGGCGACCTTCGAGGAGATGGACCTGGGCGAGACGGCGGTGGCATAGACGGCGGTTCGTCATGATAGGGACGGCTGAGGTGGCCAGCAACAGACGAAGAAACTGTAGCCGGCTGTACGCGATGGCAATAACGGGCTGTGACCGGCGTAACCGCAGGCAAAGCAGATGGGCCGGTTGTCGGGTGTGCGCCATCGGTTCGCCGGGGTAGGTCTTGTCCATGACGCAAAAGCAATGAACGGAACGGTGACTGGAAAGGCTGCAGGGGGTGTTGGAGCTCAGTCTGAGAGGTCACTTCAAAATACGTAGCCGGCATACCCGCTGCAAAGGATGGAGGTCGTGCGGCAGCTTCGGCGTAAGTCAGTGGGGCGGGCGGTTGAACGACTGGAGGCGGCCTGGCGACCACTTGGGCGTAACTTGGGAGCGCAGGGGCCGGAAGTTGTTGTGGGTGGTACGCAGGCATGACCTCCGCTATTTCCTGCTCAATTCCTCGGCGGATGGGTGGAAGAATGGTAGTGGCCGATTGTTGAGCAGCCGGTGGGTGGTCAAAGGGCAGGAGAGAGAACTGCCGCGCGATTTCCTCACGTATGAATGACTTGAGGTCTGCCAGCAGTGCCACCTGATCACAGCTCGCCTCCAAGCCAGCAAGCCCTGCATCTCGTGGTGTGGAGTGACGGGTCATTGAACGCTGCCGGCGGAGCTCCTCGCAGCTCTGGCACAGCGTGATGACCTCATGCAGCTACTGTTCCTGGGTTTTTGGCAAGCAGCATCGTGAAGACATCATCGTCAATGCCCTTCATGACGTTCCGGATCTTGTCTGATTCGGACATGCTGTCGTTGGATTTCTTGCACAGGTCCAGGACATCTTCAATGTAACTGGTGAATGATTCACCGGCCTGCTGAGCGCGTTCGCGTAAGCCCTGCTCGGCTTGCAGCTTACGAACGGCAGGGCGGCCAGAAACGTTGGTGATAGCGGTCTTAAAATCGGACCAGGTTGCGAAATCGGATGCGTGGTTGTTATACCACATGCCGGCCACACCCGCGAGGTAGAAAACCAGGTGGCCGAGTTTACCTGCCTCGTCCCAATGATTGGGGACGCTGACGCGTTCGTACATGGCGAGCCAGTCCTCGACGTCGGTGCCATCCGCGCCGGTGAAGAAAGGAGGGTCGCGGATGTGGGGGACACCGGAACATGGCGTCGGCGCAGGAGGAAGCGTTTGCTGAGCGGCGTCTTGGTGCATGGTAGAAGGCACGGTACGGGATCTAGGCTCTAAAGGCATCGAATGCGAACCGAAGATGTTTGAAGGGCACAGCCCCTCCACCAAATTGTTAAGGCGTTTATTAGCCGGCACACAGCGAGCATGCACAATGGCGACAGTAACAGCCAAGCACGGGCTCTCAGCGCGAGCGGCATCCTTTTTGGGTAGACCCACTAGAAGGCACCTGAGAGTTCGACCAATTTCAGTGTTCGGAAGCTTCTCTACAATGTTATATATATATATATATATATATATATATATATATATATATATATATATATATATATATATATATATATATATATATATATATATATATATATATATATATATATATATCCAGCGAGTGTCTTCTGTGAATCCAGTGATGAATAGAAATTGGCTTGAGCGGACAAACGTGCGAAAACTTTTATTGCTCCTACGTTTCGGCCGGGTCCGGCCTTCCCTGACGAAGGCCGGACCCCGGCCGAAACGTAGGAGCAATAAAAGTTTTCGCACGTTTGTCCGCTCAAGCCAATTTCTATATATATATATATATATATATATATATATATATATATATATATATATATATATATATATATATATATATATATATATATATATATATATATATATATATATATATATATATATATATCTACGTTTGCGAATTCCTCGATAAACATGCACCAAATTCGATATTCACTCGCCAAAAAATATATATATATGCATGCACGCCGTCAGTCTTGCCTTGGAAGACAACACCAGGAAACTTGGAATTCAAAGGGCACTTAGACGTCCTACTCGTTCCAATGTTTGATACGTACAGCCATATACCGCAAGTGCTTCGTCCATAAACTTAAAACTCACGGGCAACGTTGCGAGCATTTAAAGCTTCAAGTTACCTTTCATACATTGCGTGTATTACACGCAAGTTATCTCCCATACGCATGTATTACACGCATTGTTTCTCATTTAGCAGCATACGCGAAAAAAACAGGCGATCGTCAGCGAACGAAGCGAGAATACTTACACGTAAAAAGTGATCCCAGGCGTCTTCTTGATGCGATTTGTGCAGCCAAAAGCGACGCACGAAGTCACCGTGGCCTTGTAAAATATTTAACTGCTTTACAAAAGCATGTCACAGTCTCCAAAGGCCACTGCGAGGTCGGAGCTACGAAGCGAACTTTGTCGTCTGCTTCCGAATGGTGGCGACTGCAGGCGTCACTTATCGGCAAAGAAGAGTTTCCTAAAAGAAACTACACGGATTTGCCTAGTCTTCGTACTTGCAGGTGATGAATCGTACTTGCGGCTTCGTTTATTGCTGTGTTTCAGTTTTGTTTTGAAAAAAAAAAATATTCAACTCTTTTGAACTTTGTGACCCGATTTGGAAGGTAAGTATGAAAAAATAGGGTGGTGAATCGCAACCGCTGAACAGTTGCTGACTTTTGTTTTGTGAAAAAACAGCTTGCAAGCCACACGAATTCGCACACGGAGCCAAAAACAGGCCAGAAGTACGAAGATTAGACAAATGTGTGAACTATCCATCATTCATTCATACCATAGCTTCATCTAGGAGGCTATGTTCACACACACACACACACACACACACACACACACACACACACACACACACACACACACACACACACACACACACACACACACACACACACACACACACACACACACACACACACACACACACATATATATATATATATATATATATATATATATATAGTTTTAAGACGTTATACTGTCGAAAAGGTGAAATTTGCAGTGCGCATATGTACAGCGACACGCTATAATCAGCTTCGCCAACTGTAAACGTTTGGAGGAAGGCTACCCAAATTTTTTTAAGAGGGGGGGGGGTGCAGCAGAACGACTAACTTTAGGAATTGGTGGTCACTGTTAATGCGCAAAAATATTTTAGTATACCCTGAAAAGGTAAATTACGAAAACATTTCATGGTGTATAGGGTTCAGATTTCCTTCCTCTCCCCTCTTTACTTTTGGCTTCCTGGTTCTGCGTGCGTTTGACACGGTATTCGTTTTTTAATCTCACAGCTTTCTGAGCACAGCTAACTTCGAATAAATCGACTCAATTATTCTGAATATTGTAGACGTCTAACCAACGAAGAAAGAGTTCAGACGGATGTAATCAGTATAAAACACGCCCTTTCTGAATTATTTTCGACCTCTCACAAGGGCTTTCATGGAGCTCAAATGCAGTAGATTGGCTTGTCATACTTCAAGGGCTATGACCTCATGTGCTAGATATGAATTATGGGCTGGTACGAAGAAATCTGCATCAAGAAATCGCGACGGAGGAGCCAAAGCGCATATCAGCTCCTGTACGCGGCGCTCGACTCTTTCAGTTGGATGAATGGATGGATGAATGGATTGATGTGGCTGTACCCTTTAAACTGGCCAGTGGCTAACGTCACCTAGCCGTGACCAATTAGATTTATATTTTTTTTAAATAGTGAAGTTGAGGACTGGTACTTTGCAGTGAAGGGTTTAATTTTCACTCGTGCCTTGACTTTAGCCACCAATCAGATAACCTCCTTCTGGTTAATTCTACCCGCTTAAAGTCTATTTTGCCCTTCCTGCCCCTAAACCCCAGTGCTTTGAAAAACTCTGCGCCATCATCCTGAACCTTAGGGTGAAGCCCTTTACAGAACAACTACAGAACATCAAGTGTTCGGCAGTCTCCTCCTCCTCTTCACATGCACTGCATACCGCGTCTTACCCCTTCGTATTTGGCCCTATGTGTCTTGGTTCGCAACACTCCCGTCCTGGCCTCAAACAGTAGAGAACTACCTCGAGTATTATCATAGATCCTTTTTTGGCAATTTCCTGCTTAAAAGTTCGATAGATCTCTAGTGTGGACTTCTTAGTTATGCCAATTCTCCACAAGTCGGTCTCCGTTTCCTTCACTTATTCAGTACCATTCGACTGCAGCGTCGCCGCTACGGGCAACGCGCAAGGCACAGAACTTTGCCAACAGTATATTATCGGGATTTCTCGTGCTGCCGCAGAAACTTTATACTGCGTAATATTTTAGCGGTGTAAGGCAAATACAGCATAATTATGGCTTTCTGAACTGCCCACGATAAACGATGCTGATAGCATAACATACGAGTCTGTCCGTTAGTTACGAGTTGGTATACGTTCGCAATTAAATTTTAGGCGCAAAAAAAAAAAAAACATATTACAATGTCTTGTATCCTCGCTTGTGACTGTGTTTTTCGTGCCTTAAAATAAATTACAACTATGTGGCGCAATCCCGTGGCTTTTGTCTGGTTCTGTAGTCAGCTTTTTGCGTTTTATTTTTTTTCATGTCAATCACATTCTTTAGCAATTTAGGCCGTCGAACAGCTCCGCATGCGGCGCTTTTTTTCAGCATGTCTTCCCTCTGCTTCTTGAGTTCATCGAATGAAACCTGTTAACACAGCTGACGACAAAGCTTCGAGCAGGGACCGCACGTTGGGGTATCGGTGAGCACTTCGTAGTCATTACTCACGAGACTTCCTGCTGACGCATTGGGACACCATGAACACACTTTCACAATTTCTATGTCCTCCAGAAGTTCGGCCAATTGGGTGATGGTATGTGCATTCCCGGGCGACTTGGTTAAGCGATGGTGATGGCTACTATAGTGGCGACTGTCATGTCTTCTGCGACGACTACGCATTTCTCCACAAATAGTGCTCTTTTTTTTTCTTCTTTGAGCACTATAAACGCCACAAGACGTCTTGTCTCGCCATTCTCAACAACTTTCCGCCAACATGCAGCAGGCAAACAAATGTTTCCTAAGCCTTGAAGCGAAATTATGACGCCGCTCGTTGACGCGCGCGGCATGCATGTCGGAACTTATTTCACCATCCTCGAGCTCAGTGCTCGGAGATAGTCTATTCTTTTTCGCCGATGATATTCTGGAAAGTACTCCACTCCTATTGGGCAGCTTTCGCTTCTTTCTCGTGGGCTATGAAAGGTAAGCGGGCAAATTTGGGATATCCATGGAACGCATCTTCCGATGAGGTCCCACTTTCCTCTGGTGATTTGTACCTTCTTACTATCGATGACGTGAGTGAAAGTCTTGAGGAATTCCTCCTCAGGAATGTGCACATCACACACACGTGATGTGCTGGGCAGTTTCTTATCCGCACGAGGAATAGCTATAGGTCCAGTGCCTCCTCTATAACTTTATAGAGGAGGCACTGCTAGGTCCAATGCATCTCGTTGCTCAGGTTCACCGACGTCGGGCTGCGCAGCTACCATCGGTTTCGGCGCATATATGTGTAGGTTTCCACCAAATCCACGCAAGACAAGAAAATTCTGTGGGAACCATACCCTATGTGCACCGTCGACAAACCAATTCTGCGCAAGACGGTTGGCTGCACCATCATAGAAATGTGTGTTCTTGCCGAGATTCACCCAGCTCCCCTATGAAATGACCAGTACAAACAATGTGGATGGGCCTGCCTAGTTCATGGTATGAAAAAGAGTTAATATACATACTGCAATATTGTGGCGTGACTTGCGTTAAGTAGAATGCTTAATTTGTAGAGCTTTTCAACCGGATAATTTGGAAATCAACAGAGCATAGAATAATCAAACCAGTCTCTGCTGGCATGTATGCTATGCTTTTATCAGTAGGTTGGTTACATTCAAGCACCGGCATGCTGCTAGATTTGAATGTGGCTTTCAGCTTCCAGAACACCTAAGCCTATTTACATTAAGCATAACCCCGTGAATGTTTCAGTGGAGACTGTGGGCTCGCAAATCGCACTAAGCCTTTCTAATTGTCAATGGTCATTTAAAATCTGTCCATGTGGGTGTAGGGGTTGAAATAATAATCCTCATCATCAGCCTGACTACGTCCACTGTAGGACAAAGGCCTCTCCCGTGTTCCGCCGATCAGCTCGGTCCTGTCTGTGCTCGCTGCTGCCGATTTATACCCGCAAACTTCTTAATCTCATCTACCCACTTAGCTTTCTGTCTCCCCCTAACCCACTTGCCTTCTCTGGGAATTCAGTTAGTTACCCTTAAAGGAACACTAAAGTCAAATAACAATTTACGTCAGAGTGAAAGCTCAATGTAAGACATCTAAAACGACCATATTATCAACAGTGCCCTACTTACCGAGAAATTGAGTTAAATGCACGAGAACACATGTGCCGCAGTAGGACGTTTTCAAAATGATCCTGATGACATCAGACGGACCGCCTACAGTTATTCACTAATAATCGATCTAGATGCACTAAATAACCTTCCATACACCAAAAGACGCAATAAAATGCTGCTTGTTCGTTTTGTTTGCCATAAACCGCACGTTACTATAAGGAATGGCGCGAGTGGTTAAAAAATTTAATTTTCACATGGTTACACGGGACAGGTGGTGCTATCGAACGGGGCGCAGTTGAAAAAAAAAAAAAAACGTTTACAATCTCGAAGCTGATGGCGGGAAATTGATCAATGCAGTGGCTCCAGCTGCTTTCGGTTTGCTGCTACTAGCGCAGTAAAGCCGGGCAACGTTGTGCACGGCAAAAGTGACGTGAGTCGGTCCGCATTTTGAGGCGGGTAATTTGAAGTGCGCTAACCCAATGTGGAGCACTAAAACGTGATTTTATTTCAATATCGGCCCTTCCTTGGCACAAAAGCAACACTACGAGGTTTCTGGACCTCTATTTCAACAATGAACGCCGACTTAATAGTTGCCTTTAGTGTCCCTTTAATGACCAGTGGTTATCCTGTCCACACGCTACATGCCCGGCCAATGTACATTTCCTCTTCTTAATTTCACCTATAATATCCTTAACCAGGGTTTGTTCCCTAATCCACTCAGCTCTCTTCTTGTCTCTTAATGTTACGCCTACCAATTTTCTTTTCATTGCTCGCTGCGTCATCCTCAATTTAGGCTGAATCCCCTTTTTAAGTCTCCAGGTTTCTGCTGCATTGCTCAGTACCGGCAAGACGCAGCTGTTATATGCCTTTTTTTTTGAGGGATAGTGGCAATCTACCTGTCAGGATTTGAAAGTGCTTGCCAAATGTGCTCCACCCCATTCTTATTCTTCTAATTACTTCAATCTCGTCGTTCGACTACGTGGTTATTGCTTGTCCTAAGTAGACATAGTCTTTACAACTTCAAGTGTACTATTACCTATCTCGAAGCGCTGCTCCCTTCCGAGGTTGTTGTACATTACTTTCGTTTTCTGCAGATTAATTTTAAGACTCACCTTTCTGCTCTCTTTGTTTAACTCTGTAAGTTACTCAGCAATGCAACGTCATCGGCGAAGTGCAGGTTACTAAGGTACTCTCCGTTAACTCTTATCCCTAACTGTTCTCATTCTAGGCTTCTGTAAACCTCCTGTAAGCACGCGGTAAACAGCATTGGGGAGATGCTGCCTTAAACCCCTCTTGATTGGTATTCTGTTGCTTTCTTTATGAAGCACTATGGTAGCAGTTGATTCCCTGCAGATTTTTTACAGGATGTTTATATACGCTTCATCGACACCCTGATTCCGCAGTGTCTGCATGACTGCTGATATTTTAACTGAATAAAACGCCTTTTCGTATTCTATGAAACTTATGTATAGTGGTTGGCTATATTCTGAGCATTTCTTTATTACCTAATTGATAGCATGAATGTGGCTGATTGTTGAGTAGCCTGTTTAAATTCCCGCTTGCTCCTTTGGTTGATTGAATTCTAATGTTTTCTTTACTCTGCTAGCAATTACCTTTGTAAATAGCTTGTATACTACAGAGAGCAAGCTAATCAGCCTGTAATTTTTCAAGTCCTTGTCATCTACTTTCTTATGTATTAAGATGATGTTAGCGTTCTTCCAAGACTCTGTTACTCTTCCCGTCAGGAGACACCTCGTAAACAGGGTGGCTAGTTTTTCTAACACAATCTGTTCTCCATCTTTCAGCAGATCTGATGTTACCTGATCCTCACCAGCAGCTTTGCCTTTTTGCATGCTCTCCAAGGCTTTTCTGACTTTTTCTATCATTACCGGTGGGATGTCATCTGGGTTACTGCTAGCTCGTGTTGTATTAAGGTCATGGTTGCCCGGCTACTGTACAGATCTTTGTAAAACTCCTCCTCTATTTTGACTATCCTATCCGTATTGGTAGTTACTTTGTCTCCCTTGTCCCTCAGTGCATACATCTGGTTTTTGCCTATCCTAAGTTTTCTTTTCACTGTTTTGACGCTTCCTCCATTCTTCAGAGCAGGTTCAATTTTCTCCATGTTATACCTTCTTACATAGGATACCTTACCCTTATTAATCAACTTCGAAAGATCTGCCAATTTTATTTTGTCTGTTGTATTTGAGGCTTTCATGCTTCGATGCTTTTTATAATAAGGTTTTTCGTCTCCTGGGACAGCTTGCCAGAGGCCTGTCTATGTACCGTACCTCCAACTTCCACTTGCACACTCTGTAATGATACTAGCCAGACTATGATTCATTGCGTCAATACTAAGGCTGGTTTCCTCGATAAGAGCAGATTACCTGTTCTGAATCGAGACTCTGAATTCCTGTACTTTCCCTCTCAAGCTAGCTCATTGATTGGCTTCTTGTGTATCAGTTTTTGTTGTTTCTTCTTCAAGTCTAGGTGAATGCGAAACCGTACCATTCTATGGTCACTGCATTGTACCTTGCCAAGCACTTTTACATTCTACACGATGCCTGGGTGTGGACTCAGTATGAAGTCTACTTCATTCTTATTTTTGCCATTACGACTCCTGCCTGTCCACTTATGATTCCCTCGTTTTTAGTAGAAGGTATTCAAAATCCGTGAATTATTGTGTTCTGCGAATTCTGCTAGTAGCTCCCTTCTGGAATTTCTAGTACCGATGCGATAATCTCCTACCGCCTGGTCTCCAGCCTGCTTCTTGCCTACCTTTGCATTGAAGTCTTCTATCAGTATAGTGTACTGTGTTTTTACCTTACTCATTTAATGTAATTTAAAATCTGTTCATGTGGGTATAGGAGTTGAAATAATAATGGCTCCTTACAAAACCCTAAAAAGCAGTTTACAGAAACTCCTAGTCTACAGCACAAACCCTGCGGCACCATCATCTCTATTTTAACATCTCTTGCTAGAAGCCACTGTGAAGCAGCAGCTTGTTTTAACACATTCTTGTGGAAGGCATATTCAATTGGGGGCATTTCACGTTCTTGAAACAGAGTGTAATTTCCCCTGGCCAGTAATGAAAACATTTCATGCAAGCCAATAATATGTGCAACTGGCACACCAGAGAAATGCACACTACTAGTTTTTACTCGAAGCTATACACTGGCCTCCAGATTCCATCAATGTCTGGCAAAAGCATGCTGTGTTGTTGGCATTGAATATTTCATACTGAAAGAAGTAATTGCAGCCCTGCTGTGAGAAACACAGCGACAGAGGTGTGGTACAGTGGCACTAATGGAATTCATACATATACAGTACAGTGCTTAACTTTTGTGTGGTATCCAAGACAAAAGCTTAGAAATAAATTTTTTTCTTGAGGCGGGAGGGGGGAACCTCATTAAAATGGTCATTTTTTGCTCAGCATGCTATGGCAAAAAAGAATTTCGGCGTGGGCTCAGGCCCATTGTGCCACCCCCTGGTTTCACCACTAATCCGAGAAGACGTCATAGATGTTCGAGGCAACCAATATGAATATGTCCAAATTTTATATATTTGGTATTGAATGTACAGGCATACACACACATATAACATGATCAGTGTAACATATCTAGATACATAATATACAGGGTTCACCTATAATAATATCACTATTGTATGAAAATATTTACATATAACAATATCTTTACAAAGTATACACAGCATTTACAATGATATCCATAGGCATATACAATAGACTCTCAGTAAACGGAACCTGAAGGGACTGGGAGAATATGTTCCATTTAACAGGAGTTCCGTTTACTGAAAGGTGAGCATGGGTGCAGAATACAAGCCCGAAATGAAGTATTGCAGAGGCAATAGTTCAGTTTAAGCAGTAGTTCCATTTAACAAATTTTCATTTAGTGAGAGTCTACAGTATATGCACAGGCACATTCTAGAGCTTACTTGAAGGCATTTAAAATGTCTTTGCAAGGTACACAAACCACCTGGTGTCACTAAGCTATTGGAACCTCCGAGGCTCGATATAGGGTGCAGTGCTACAAGCAGGAACATGTCACAACATTTTGTCTAGACACACAATTGCACAAAGGGATGCTGTAGAAATGATTCCCCCTTTGTCCTTCCACCAAAAAATGCACAAAATATATATATGGCATACAAATAGCTTGTACGCCACCTTTATTTCGCATTTAGATGTGAACAGTTTCAAATTGCACAGTAAAAGCATACAAACCAACTTAAAAAAGTTGCACATGTGGTTATGGTACATGCACTATCTTTTAGTACTGCATGGAGCATGGAACGCATGATTCACTGTTTTTCATAATTTATTTTACAGTACTTACTACGATCATCATGCATGAGCTTTGACTCCACAGAGCTAGTTAAGAGGACTTACCAGCAACTTGCCAACATCTTGGCATCAACACACCATCTCTTGAATAGTGCCATAGTTCCTACACTTTTCAAAGACCTCAAACAGGTATGATACAAGAGCATTTTTTAAGGGCTTGTTTTTCTTTGTTAGACACTATATTATTGAAAAAAATAACAGGCAATAATGCCAAGGAATGTATAGGGGATGTTATTTATAGTAGGCTTCAATGTAATGAAAATGTAAACAAGAAGTGGACCAAACAAAAATTTGCCGCGAGTCTTCACAGTTTCATTTCATCGAGGCCTACCACAAATAACGTCTCCTATACTTTCCTAGGAATTACTGTAAGTCAGTCATCATTAATACTGTGTCTAAAGAAGCAGGTTTCAGCACATAGTATAGCTATCGAACTGTAAAAGTATCAAGTATAAATGTATAATCCTGTATTAAAGTTAAAGGGCCTTGCCTGGTAGACAACACACATTTATTATATGCAGCTTAAAGGGACACTAAAGGTAACTATTCAGCCGACATTGATTATTGAAATAGCGATCCAGAAACCTCGTAGTGTTGCTTTTGTAAAGGAAGGGCTTATTTTGAAATAAAATCACATTATAGCGGTCCACATCGGCTTAGCGCACTTCAAATTACCCACCTAAAAAAGCGAATCGAATCGCGTCACTGTTGCTGTGCACAACGTTGCCCGGCTTTACTGCGTGTCCGCAGACACTAGTAGCAGGAAAACGAAAGCAGTGAAGACACAGCAGCATCAACAGACATTGATAAATTTTCTACCATTGGCTCCGAGATGGCAGATGTATTTTGGTTCAACTGGGCCCCGCTAGATGGCACGACCTGTCCAGTTTAACCATGCGAAAATTGAATTTCCGAACCACTCGCGCCATTCCTCATAGTAATGTCCGGCGGTTCTTTTTTCCATGAATCAAACAGAAACTAACAAGCAGCATTTTATTGCATCTCTTGATGCACAGAAGGTTCTTTATTTAGTGCAGCTAGATCGATTAGTAGTGATTAATCGTAGGCAGTTCGTCTGACATCATCGGTATCATTTTGAGAACGTCCTACTGCGACGGATATATTCTTGTGCATTTACCTTAATTTCTCGGTAAGTAGGGCACTGCTGTTGATAATATTGTCGTTTTAGATGTTGTCATACATTGAGCCTTCACTCTGAGGTAAATTGTTATTTGACTTTAGTGTCCTTTTAAGCGCAGATGCAAAACCGTCATATCTTTAGAATATCAATACTTCACTTCAAACGGATTGAATAATTGAAAGCATTTACTACAACTTTTTCTTTTAGTACATAAAAGTGCCAAATATTTGAAAGAAAAAGTTAGTACCAAATTATGGTGAGAATTTGGCAATGTAACAATCACTAATTTAAATAGATGTCTCAGTCACTAAATCACCTGTCTAACATGAGCATAATCCGACATTAGTGTTTTCTCAACCTAAGAGGTATATTGTCACACTTTGCTAATAGCACAAGCCCACAGACACGAAAGGAACAAGCAAGGCAAAGGAGGTAGTAAAAAAAATGTGAGATGAGCTTGATTATGGAAGCATGCTTTTTCAAATAATGAAGCCCATGTATGTTGCCACATGTTTTGTCCTGCAAGTCCGCTTGGCCACATATTTTTCGGAGGCATTGCATATCCGTTTTCATGACGTCTTCAGAAAAGGCCAAATTTTCGGTTTCAAGAAATATTTGGCAATAAAAAAATTAAAAAGGGGTAACATTTGCAACTTTCATTACCACCAAGAAAAATCTGAATAGGGTTTTGCTCTTTGTTTTGCAGTTCAATAAGATATCAATTCAAAAAAGTGACAGACTCATGGCAGCCCCAAATGAAGTACGTCAATCACTATTCTTTTTTTTTACCTCAGGCACATAAGCGAAATGTGTGCTGCCTAGATCTCTTTTCCATCGTGACCTAATGAATTGAATGACACAAACCCTTCAAATTGTTTTTTTCATGCACACCTTCGCATAGACCCGAAAAGGGCACTTTAATAAAGAGTGTATATGTGACAGCATAGCCAGCCGATGGATGAGCCAGCCATTATGATGGTACGCTGAGCTAGTCCGAGAGTGTTCATGATAAAATTTTGAGTAGCACCCTTAAGAAGGGCAAGAACGGAAAAAACAATGAGAATAGCACATATTATTATCCTTTCTTCTATCCTTGACCTTTCTGTGAGCACTGCACAAAATTTCATGAGCCAGCCATAGCCAACCAGTTGCTGATTGTAGATACTTGTGTTGAGTTTTTGCAATTGTATCGTATTATGTCAAATGTGCACCTTCAGATTGTGCTACACAAAATAGATTCCTATGTTCAGATTAAGTGACAATCACAAATATGTGTACCCACATCTTTAAGCTTGTGCACGCAGCCAGAACGTAAATCACTTGACAAACTTGGCAGAAGCGCTTCTTGGTAAGTGCTTCTGGCAACTTGGCAAAAGTGCTTCTTGGCAGTTGTTACTGTGTCCTACAAACACTCACTGGGGTGGGTTTAAATTCCTTATCATTGGGCCTGAGTATATGTGTAGCTGCCATCATAAATCACATTATCAAACGTGACCATCCAATCCCTTTAAATTGGAGTTGGGCATTTCCCCTCACAAGTAAGAGAGCATGCAGCTCAACAAGGCAGGTGTGTAGCAGGTGGCTAATTGCAGAATTAAACCAGAATTTTAGGCTAAGTGTATTATGATGAGCAGAATTTCGAGATCATGCATGTCTTGTGTGCTACTGCCTGGCTACTGCTGCAGCAGCTATATTGTTTTTTTGCTTCCTGCACAGACGCCACACTTCGAAAAGTGTGCTCCTCAATGCTACTGAAGTTTCAATGCATTCATACGTCTGAACACTATTCTCATCATAAAAAAGAGAGGGTGTGAATGTAAAGAAAGCAAAAGGTGATTTTCAAATTAGCACAATAACCCTGCAGTGTGGAAGTGAGGACAACAATGGATTTACAACCGTACATTAGGCACTGAAAGGCACAAAATAGTTAGTGCACAGTGAAAAGAATGTGCTATAAGGCTGTTGATAAGAAAAAGCAATTCTACAGTTTTATTTCGCTTTTTATTTCGCAGTTTTATTTAACATTCAAAATAAATACTTGCACTATATTAACACTTCCATGCAATGAGACGTGTGCAATCCCATGTAACAAATTCAAGTTTCTAGCTCTTTCGAAGAGATTTCATCTGTTTTGTGTACCCTTTTGACATGTGCCATAAGATTGCATTTTTGAGTAAATTGGCTCCCACACACATCACATTTGAAAGGTTTTTCACCAGTGTGCTTGATGAGGTGCGTGAGCAGGGTATTATTCTGAGTAAAAGATTTGTTACACAGGTTGCACTGGAAAGGTCGCTCTCCTGTATGAATTCTTTCATGCCTTTTTAGCTGACTAGGCTTTGAAAAAGCTTTAGGGCACTTTTGACACCGATATGGAGCTTTCTTTTCTTTATCCTCTTTGCTTTTGTGTGAGTCAAGATGCTCTTTAAGATGGCTAGCCCTCTTGTAAGATTTTCCACACTGATTACACACATGAGCCCGTGCTTCATCTACATCATCAATTGTTTTTACTACTGCAGGTGCCACCAAGTCAGCTGTGTCCATAACAGCACTCTCCAAAAGACTGCCTTCTGCTACAGCCAATTCATCAAGACCCAGCTCAGCAGCAGGTACCTGTGAAGCAAGCCCTTGGTTACAGCCAGTAGGGTCTCCCTCCATCACTGTAAATGTCACTGCTCCATTTTTACCTTCTGCTGCAACTAGAGGTAGTGACTGGTCAAGTACTACTGAGCTACCCCCCGAACCATTTTGTTGAATAAGAAATGAAGCTGCATCTAGTTGCTGCTCCACATTTGTACCACTGGAGTCTCCTGATGGTGTGATGGAGATGTTGATATTACCCTGCTGTTGCAGTTGTTGCAAATGCTGCAGAAAGGAAGCATCAATCTGCACTGTCTGTGTAGAAGGGTTGAGTCCTGTAATCTGAATGCCTGGAGCTAGCTGCAACTGGATCTCACCCATGATTCCCTCAGCATCAGTGGGCTCTTCCGGGATCGTCTCGTGTGAAGCCTTTTCCTCTCGTTGTAGCAGACGACTTCGTCGCCGTACACCCCCACTCTTAAAATGTGTCATAATATGGCTTTTGCGATGACCGGATGTCCGAAAACGAAGGTCACAGTGGGGGCACTTGAAAGGACGGGAACCTTCGAGTAAATAAGAAAATACAAGAAGCATACTTGAGACAGTAATACTATAGTACACTCTTAGAGATAAATTCCGAAATTTTGCATTCCTTAGGCCACTTTCTAGAAGAGCCTTTCATGGTTCCTTTTGCCAAAAGATGCCTGGAAGATGCAAGTCTATCTCAAAAGGTCCTTTCACTTATCCTCACCTAAGAATAGTCTTCTATGTATCTAGGTTAGTGGGCATTCTTCACAGGCTTCCCAATGTCTTTATTCAGCAAAATAAAGATTGTTGATCAAACACACTTCATACTGAATCATCATTATCATCATCAGCCTGAATACGTCCACTGCAGGACAAAGGCCTCTCCCATGTTCAGCCAGTCAACTCGGTCCTGTGCTTGCTGCTGCCAATTTATACCCGCATACTTCTTAATCTCACCTGCCCACCTAACCTTCTGTCTCCCCCTAACCCGCTTGCCTACTCTGACAATCCCGTTAGTTACCCTTAATGATCAGTGGTTATCCTGTCTACGCGCTACATGCCCGGCCCATGTCCATTTCCTCTTCTTGATTTGATATCCTTAACCCCCGTTTATTCCCTAATTCACTCTGCTCTCTTCTTGTCTCTTAAGGTTACACCTACCATTTTTCTTTCCATTGCTCGCTGCGTCGTCTTCAATTTAAGCTGAACCCTCTTTGTAAGTCTCCAGGTTTCTGCTCCATAGCTAAGTACCGGCAAGATGCAGCTGTTATATACGTTCCTCTTGAGGGATAGTGGCAATCTACCTGTTATTATTTGATAGTGCTTGCCAAATGTGCTCCACCCCATTCTTATTCTTCTAGTTACTTCAATCTCGTGGTTCGGCTCCGCAGTTATCACCTGCCCTAAGTAGACATACTCTTTTTCAACTTGAAGTGTACTATTACCTATCTCGAAGCGCTGCTCCCTTTCGAGATTGTTGTACATTACTTTCGTTTTCTGCAGATTAATTTTAAGACTCACTTTTCTGCTCTCCTTGTCTAACTCCGTAATCATGAGTTGCAATTCATCCCCTGAGTTACTCAGCAATGCAATATCATCGGCAAAGTGCAGGTTACTAAGGTGCTCTCCATTAACTGTTATCCCTGACTGTTCTCATTCTAGGCCTCTGAAAACCTCCAGTAAGCACGCAGTAAATAGCATTGAAGAGATTGTATCCCCCTGCCTTACACCCTTCTTGAATGGTATTCTGTTGCTTTCTTTATGAAGCACTATGATAGTAGTTGATCCCCTGTAGATTTCTTCCAGGATGTTTATATATGCTTCATCGACGCCCTGATTCTGCATTGTCTGCATGACTGAATAGTCATGTATAAATGCTAATGCTTTTTTCTGAATCACTTCTTGGTACCGTCAACTATAAGGACACAAGAACACCTTGCTGAAGGTAATGAGGCAACACTCATCAAAGGATGCACTGGGCGGCTGCACCGTTTTATCTTTTCATTCTGTATTGACAGTTGCATTTGAATTACATTTTCTTCATCATGCTTTGCGTCCAAGGTATTACTGACAGATGAATGGCATATTCCTACAAATGGTTTCCCATTCTTTACTGCTAAAGAATTCGTAAGACTGGCTGTATTAAATGAGCATGACAAACATAAGGATAAGTTTAAGTTATTTTGTGAATATGGGGGCTAGAAATTTGTGGCAACAGCTAGGAATGTGCACTGTGAAGCCATTTTGCAGTTCATCGACATAAGAGTTTATGAACTGCAGTGAAATGGCTCTCCTCACTCCTATCATGCCCTGCAGCGACAAGCCTCTGTTCAGCTAAATTATGAAGAAAGGGGATTAGGGCATTGCTGAGATGACCTCTTTTTGTGGAAAAAAAAAAAAAGAAACCCAGGAAAGAAAACTTGAAAGCACCTTAGGGGCTACATTACAGCATGTAACATACAGGAAGACTTCTTTAGTAAGGACGCTTCCAGAATTGATGTAAGGTGGCCCAACCACACATAAGGTTTCCCTATAAAAACTAAGATTCTGTGAAATAATACAAATTCATAATTTAGCAAGTAGCACAATAAAAAAAACTGCCCTATATACTATAAATTAAACTTACAAGAACTGAAATCCATGTGTGTTTGTAAGAAAGTGATGAAAGTTTTACAATTTAGCTCAAAGGATGTGAGAAAGACCAACACATAATAAGAGTCCTGAAGGATGCAGTCCCTCATATATGGCTTTCCATGTAATTGAAATGCTAGGACCTACTACTTGCCTCTCATTACCGCAAATGAAAAAAGTTCTGCAGTTTAATTTATGGTTTAATGGGCCTTTTTCTAGCCCGAACAGCATCTCAGGTGGAGATGGCCTAAATCAAAATTGAAGGCCCTTGGACTTCGAAATCATCCACCGCATGCCGGTAAGCAATCTCGAAGACCTGTGTTCGCGCCTCTCTTTGGGGCAAGAATTTGCATGTTTGTGGCACCAAATGTCACTTGGTCCTCACATGTCGTGACGCTTCGGCCACCAAAAATAATGGCGCGTGCCTCCTCGAAGCTGGCGTGCATGCACAGACTACCTACCCGAAAGAGACCCATTCAGCTGAGAACAGCGTCATCCACAGATAAGTAATCCACGTAGTATGTATATGATTCTTTTGGCACCAACAGTTACAGGCGTGAAAGAACTGAGCAGACATAATAACACAAGCAGTACAAGTCCAACCATGAACTCCTCTAACAAATAACGGTGATAATGAGTCTTCGCGAAAGTGACGGGGGAATCAAGTGCCAGTCATAAGGGTCTTACTTTCCCGAGGGCTAAGAACAAGAGTTCGCCATCTACACGATACAAATATCGAAGGCTATGCTTCTCTTCACAACAGCTGAAAGTATCTTATACGTGTTGCTTCACTCATGCGGCTAATCGTACGCTCAAACCAGGTCAGGCTGGCCAAGCTGTGCAAAAAGTCAACATGGCCCCTCTCTTCCGTGATCCTTTTGCCGGCTGAGAGCACATTTCACGATGAATCATACAAGAACGATCCCGCAGCGGCAGTGTACCATCAGGGCTCAGGATACATTGGATCTTATGGAAGCTATACCAGAACTGGCAGAAAACGACACAGCAGAAAAAATGCAGCAGTGAGGAATATAACAATGGGGTTCTACTGTACCATAGGTAGCTGCCCGATGACACTGGCATAGAAAGGATTCTATTGTTGAATGCACTCATGAAATTGTCTGAACCTGTCAGGGTGTTGTTTCCACTCCTGTTCTTATTCCATGCTGAAGGGTAACCTCAAAAGCAGATGAAAGCAAACACCAGGGGGAAAAAAAAAAATCTCACCTAAAGGGAAAGAGACAGGCTGCTTAGAACTGAACAATCTAATGTGACTAACCTGTATGAAGTCGCATGTGCACCTTGAGGCTTCCCATGGTGGAGAAGAAGGAGCAGCAGATATGGCAAGGATAGTCACGTTCACCTCGATGGGTGCGACGGTGTGTTTCAAGAGTTGACTTGACTGTGAAGGATTTCTGGCATATGTCGCACGAGAACGGCCGCTCACCAGTGTGTGTTCGTATGTGTCGGGTTAAGTCACTTGGCTTCCGAAAACTTTTAGGACACATTTCACATCGGTTAGGGTACTCAATAACAGGTTGTTTTTCCCATTCTTGTGTCTCCTGCACAACACCATAAGGTCCTCAGAACATGATCCGAGACAGACTTGCAGTGAAAGACACAAAAGGCTACAATGAATTCTACCACTTCCGTGAACTACCCACAACTAGAGACATAATATGATGATTTTGGGTCACAAATGGCCAATACAATTAAAAAAGTGAAACATGTAATTTGTAACACCATCAAGCAGTTTTTCGTGCTCAAATATTTAGTATTTAAAGCTAATGCTCTCACCCGATCCTTTTCAGCAGCAGTAGAAATTAAGGCTCTTTCCGAAACAGATAAAGTGGATTCTTTAGGATCTCTCTGGGCCAGTTCTCTTGACTGCTCCTCTGTAAATTTGACAAATTTGCGCTGTGTGCCAGAGGAATTCACTTTCTCAGCCAGACGTTTTGACACCTTCTGAGATTCATCAACAGCCACAGCTGGCTCCGTATTACTTGCTGGTGATTCTTCAGCTACTTTTTGAGCTGCTGCCTTTTCTTTCTCCGTAGTAGGATCTAAAAAAGAGAGAAAGAGAATAACTGAAGAAACACACTTTGGACAAATGTAAAAATACTACATAAATATGCAGCAAAGCAAGCTTTTATTAAATGCAATTATAGGACTGCTTAATCGACATCTCTGCCATACCTATTTGTTAACATCTTATTTATTTTCTTCCAATATTACAAATGAAATAGAAATATTACATAAACTGTACTGCATGGCTTACAAGTTGTCTACAAATATTGTTAGGAATGTTACATCTCACGTGCACTAGGTGGCTTGATCACCATCTCAAATTTTTTTGAATTAATTAATGCATGAATGAAAGTTAAAAATGTCATATTTTCTCTAAAAAAAGAAGACTCTGCGAGTAGCTGTAACAATTTCTGCTTAACCATGTCAAGCAGCATGTTCTACTAATAATTTTACTCCATTTTGAGCAGATACATTTTACTGCACATTAGAAGAGCATTCATGCAGTGTTAAATATTAGCTTTTGTAATAACTAAACATGGGCACAACTCCCTTACCCCTTTCTCCTGTAACAAACACAAAAACACAGAGACAGAAGCACAGCATTTAAAAATTAGCATGGGAATGTCTGAAACTACAGGGGAGGGGCATCAAAGCAAACATTTATGTATTGTAAACAGTACATTGACAAAACAAGACAGCTTGTTAATATTAGAATAAATGAGCATCACCCAGATATGACTAACAATTTACGTGAAAACAGTGGAAGAGTATCTGAAAGTGGCAAGCCACAACTACAATGAGCTCAAGCTTTAATACTTCAGTCAATCATCCAGTCTCCAAAGGGCAGGAAATAGTCATATCTTATTCACAATTTTAGCATACTCCAGCCAATATGTATAAACCTATCGAAGGGGACTTTTGAATCTACCCAATACAGAAGATACAGAATGGAAACATGTGAGACTAAAAGCCTTGCTTCTAATAAGTTCTAGCCATCCTTATCAATACATTATCATTTTTAGGGGTGCTTACTTTTTACAGTCGTGACCAAGCGACACCCGCACTTCAAGAATTTTTTATCGAGCTTGTCAAACTTCAGCCGAAAAACATGGGAAAACTTTCTGGTATTTTGTCTTGACTGATGTCTAGTTCGGGCAGCCAAGAATCAGAGCAGCAACATCATATTCAGAAGCAGGGTGTCATAATTACAGGAGTACCATAATAGTTAACTACTATTTCTAATCTACTACGTAATTTGCTTTGACTATGTAATATAAAGCAAATGTATGCATATGAAGCACAAGAAGGTTACTTACGATGATTGCAAACATGTCGTCGAAGCTGTTGGACAGTTGGCATAAGACAGGAGCAAACTGAACAGATATAACTTTCAGGCTGCTTGTGACTAACAGCATGTCGCTTCAGTGAAAAAGATGTTGTGAAGCCTGCACCGCATTGTTGGCAGACATAATTCTTCTGAGAAGCCATACGTGCAAAGTGGCACCTCATATGAGACTTGAGGTATGTAGATCGCTTGAATCGCTTGTCACATACTGTACACCTGCGAATGCCAGAAGATTCTACTAAAGTACTTTATGTGGATAACAGCCAGTCTGGAACATCAAAGTGGGCTGATTAACAACTCCTTACCAACTGCTTATCAACCTAGAAAAAACACTGATAAAAAAAAGGACAAAAACAGCATTAAAAATACACAACGAAAAATTACTAACAAATAGTTAACCGTTGTTTCTGGTCTTGAAGAATGCATTCATAAAAAAAAGAAGAAAAAGAAAAGTGAACAATGAAATGTTATACAACCTATAAATAATTATTTCCATAATAATTCATTTGTAACTAGTTCATACAACTCTCCATAGCTAAAGCTTTATACTTAAAGAGACGCTAAAGGCAACTATTAAGTGGACGTTGATTGTTGAAATAGCAGTACAGAAACATTATAGTGTTACTTTTGTGTCAAGGAAGTGCTTATTTTAAAATAAAATTTCATTTTAGTGGTCCGCATCGGGTTAGTGCACTTCAAATTACCTGCCTCAAGCGAAACATTTCACATTATTGTTGCTGTGCACAACGTAGCCCAGCTTTACTGCACGACCGCCAACACAAGTAGCAGCAGAACGAAAGTAGCGGGAGCCACAGCAGCAACAACGCCCAATGAACAATTTCCTGTTATACCCTCAGAGATGGCAGACGTACTTGGTTCAAACAGGCGAAAACTGAATTTTTGAATCACTCGCACCATTTCCGACAGTAACGACCAGCGTTTCTTTTTTTTTCCACAAATCAAAGAGAAACGAACAAGTAGCATTTTATTACATCTCTTGATGTACGGAAAGTTGTTTATTTAGTGCAGTTAATTCAATTACTACTGATTCATTGCAGGCGGTACCTCTCACACCATCAGGTTTGTTTAGTGAATGTCCTATCGTAGCGCATGCGTTCTCATGTATTTACCTTAATTTCACGGTAAGTAGGGCACTGCTGTTGATAACATTGTCGTTTTAGACGCTGTCATACATTGAGCTTTCACTCCAACATGAATTGTTATTTGACTTTAGTGTCCCTTTAAAAGTAATTTAAATCTACTTCAAGTTTAATTACAGTTCTCAGTTTTTTTTTGACATGAAAGTAGAGAAACTAAACCTGTGAAAGAAAATAAAACAAAAAAATATGTTATTTTGTAAAAAACTTGCATTTTTTACTTTCATCTCCCCTTAAATTGAAAAAATTTCCATCGTACTAACCTAGCAATATTTTAGAAGAAAATATTTCGTGCGATATCACACCATTCTATTATCCTTTATTTTTTGAGTAACATACAGGTGTAAATCTCGATGATACAAATTCGAAGAGAGCATGCAAAATTATTCGTATCATCCTGAATTCGTATGAACCAAAAACAAGTTAAGGTGATACGTTAAGTTAGTCAAGATGAACAAGAACTTTATTGGCAACTCCTTCTTGCTGAAAAAGTCTATGATGTTCTTTCGAACTTTCCTGCCTTCACCATCTCTCAATAAAGTGCCACGGTTTCCCCACTCATGCTGCTGGCGCGGCGCGTTCACACCTGACATCAAAGGAAGCGAAAGTGGCAAAGCTCATTGGAAAATCACCCGCTTTACCGCTTAAGAGGCCGGAAAACAGCGCCGCGGTCTCGGAGATTTCACACTAGAGAATTCAAGCCAAAAATGCCAGAGCGGCCGGAAAACCACGTCCGGGCCCGTCGAAAATGTTCACACTCATTCTGCCCCTCGTACATGCCACCACCGCCGCCACTATCATTGCTTGAGAATTCATTCCATTTTGCCCATTTCCTAAGCATTTAATTTCGTACTGAGTTTTAGTAATGCAGGCAAAGCATTGTAAAGAAACAGTTTACACTTTTACTTGTTTAAAAAAATATGGCAGCAGAAACGACACGAGTGGTCTCAGCGGCGACGATCAATTCAGCCGACAGTGAAAAAAAAAAGAGACACGTTAGGGCATGCCGTCTCGCTGCTGCTGCACCTTCTTCTACTTCCGGAGTTCTCAGCGATCGTAATCCAAACCAAGCTTTCGATAAACGCATCCTTGTCAAGGCTGTGAGCTTTGACGTGCTGCACGGGTAGTTCGCGATAGAGCCGGCGCAATCCACCACTGATGCCTCTGCCGCCATGTTGAATTAGCGGCTGGTTCTTTACATCATGGAGTTTCCTATGGTTTACATCATGTGGTTTGAGAGCTAGAGCAGCCGATATAGACAAAGCCGCGAAGCAAAAAGGCGATCTGCTATCACGTGACGGGAAAATTGATCTCGCGCCGATTTTTTCACGTCAGCCTCGCGGCATACTTTTTCGGCTACTAAAGCAAGGAAAAAAAAAATTCCAGCGAGTTTTGCCACATTCACTTCCTTTGAGGCCAAGAGTGAACAGGCCTTCATTTCACAAATTCGCATCATCCGCAGTGGCTGGGAAAACCGTTCGTATAAGACAGAATCAGAGTACATTTTATAAAACATAGTCCACTCGATGCAACCTTAAAGTTCCTATCATTGCGAAATTCCCATCAACCGTAATCGTATCATCGAGATTCTACTGTATATACCTCGGCACTAAAAACACATCAGTGAACTAGTACCACACAACAAGAGCATATACGGACACTTAAGCAAGCACCATACTATGAACATGAAGGAAATGAAAGTAATGACTTTACCATTCTATACTGAAACATCAATCAGTCAATCAATCACCCAATCAATCAACCAATTTTTACTTCTCCTAGAGAAATATAGGGGTAGCAGAAAAAAAGCTGCAGTACTGCGGCTTGACAAAGCTCCGGCTCTCTACAAAGTCCAGCAGCAATATCATCAAGTAGAAGGGAAAAAAAACTGTGCTTGAAATTAAACATTTGAATTCAATGCACTAAGACAGGTAGTGGCAACACATAGTGGAGACTAGGTTGAACATAGAAATATTTGATTCTTCATGACACATCATACCTAATAAGACACATTAATGCAATTCAGAAGAACAAAGAGGGGTAAAAGAAAAGAAAGGCACACCGCAATTGAGAGTATTGTAATCTTTACTAAATAAGTTTATTATTTAAGCCAACAGAGTATTATGAAAGCAATGAAATCGCAACAGGAACAAAAAAAGAAAGAAAAATAATGAAAGCAAAGAAAACGCCATGCGCCGAACAGATACGCATATGCATCTAATCACCACAGCCAGATGCTAGTGGAAAACGAAGTTTCATCGTCACCCAATAAAAATGAGCGAAGGGTGTGTATTGAAGCCATCTGAGCAGATATGACATATTTAGAGTATGTATTTAAGAGTACGGCTAGTTGGAGTGATACCGAGTGATTTCCAGAGTTAGTTTGACATAATAACAAGCCAATATTGCTACCACATTTGGAAACAGTCTAGCTCATTATTACAATGAGCTTGCTCATAAAGTAGCCATTGACACTATACAGTAAATTATTTGTGTTTACATGTGCATATTTACAACTATTAAAAAAGATTGTAGGAAAGGGAAATTGGAAGCTTGTGATGAAAAAATAAACAGGTGGTTCATGTGCTCAAGTCAATGTTTCAACAAGTAGACTTGCCTTCTTTAAAGCAGAAACTCAGTGAATAAAAAGAGAATAAAACACACCACCATGAAAAGAGGATTACATCAATACACGTCACAAAGAACTGTGTTAGTTTTACAGAAACAAGACAGCAGTCAAGAGCAATGCTGCAATAGCCTTCAATGAAAGATGCAGTAAATATAAAGAAGTTGCCCCCTCACACAAAAGGCTTGCCATCATCTCGTACATCCACTTCTGTGCCACGCAAAGCATCCTGTGCTACCTGCTGCAATGTTGATTCTTGAGATAAGGTTGGATTAGGATCTTCATGGGCTACTGGGAGATCACCAACTAGATCATCATTTTCCGGCGTGCCTGAAGCAAGTTCAGTTGGAGTTTCCAATGATGATGTCACAAAACTGCTAGCTAGAGTGCCCACATCCAAAGCATCACCCTGCAGTAAAGACAAAAATAATCCACAAAATTTACTTCACCTGAAAATTGTGCCCCTGCACTAGAACTTTTATGCAGCATGTTAATACATTAGAATACATTCTCACTTTCGATTACACTGAAAAATTTAAGAAGCACCAACTGTAGCTTTCTATGAGTGCCAAGTTGTGCTAGCACATAATGTTCTCTTTCAGCAATGTTAGTTTATTATTCTCAAAATCACATAAAAAGCAAATAATTTTAAACTTGAACCATTAAAAAATGTTCAACTAAAATAGTCTACAGATAAACACTTCTTACTTCTTGCGATAGCATTACCGTGGCTCAAACCTTTTGTAACAGTATCCAAAAATATGAGCAAAGAGCCAGTATGAAATGCTGACGGGTGCTGTCAGAGTGCAAAACTGAGCAGCTAACAACATTGACATCACTTGGATTTCATGTAAACCAACAGCCACCCAAGTCAAGAGTTTGTATTGGCTGCCATATGCCTTGCATGTGGTGCTTGCTGCCATTATGAATAGAGTGCTCATGTGCATACAATGCCACACAGTCAGCGTGCATGGCACATGCACCACTGTTTTGTGGGCTTAGTGGTCAACCATATTTACAAAACTACCACTTCTCTTGATGCTCTCCGGAACTAAAATAGTGAGAAGGCGCTGCAAAAACACCTACATATAATTAACTATCGCATGCTCAAGAAAAAGAGGTTTAAGCAGTTGGTCATAAATGAGTCATTATTGCAACAGCAAAAAGAAAGATGCATTATTTTTATGTCATTACTAATTAATGACACCCCAGTAGCGATTTGTGACTCAAAATGAGATTGAGATGAAATGAGATTAATATGACTAGTGTCTAGCACAATTCAAAACAGCCAGCAAGCCAGCCTAGTTACAGCACAACTGAAGCTCACAATGGCTCCGCTACTGACATGCACTCATCAAATTGCACTCATTCTTTTTACCTGTGTCTTTTTGTGGGTGGTTTGCATCTTGTGATTTTGTGAAATCATTCAAAGCGGAGCAATGAACATCCGGCATGAAGAGTGAGGACAGCCACCGTCTGCAGGTGTCGCTGCCAGTCAGCACCACGTCAGGAATACTAAGATAGTTGATGACAATGCTACTAGCGCATTGTCACCCAGGACAGTATAGGCCACACCCCATATCAAAGTAACATTGTTGTCCCAGGATGTCCAAAGCCATGTTGAGCTTTCATGTGCTCTTAGCCCTCGAAATAAAATCTCCCAGGAAATGGATACCACTCAAATTTGGTCCAAATTACTCATGCATACCAAGCAATCGATTGAATGACACATCTCGAGTTCAAAATTTTAGGTCATGCTCCATTGACTTTTTCGTTAACACACCTATTCAAATCGATCACCGGTGATCGACGCTTTGGATCGTTGATTTTGGCATATTGAATATGTTTCTCGTGCACCCAGCACTTTCTAGTAGTTAGACCAGCCACACAACTTTCAGAATCACCTCGAATTTGCCCATTTTAGCAACATAGTGATTTTTGACAGACCTTTGCGCGGACCAATGTGCGTGTGTTGTTGAGAAAACGCACTTGGCTGGCGAACTTTACAAAAGTGCGTGCCCCTCGTAATTATGCAACAGTAGCATCAAAGTTCTGTAATGAAAAGAACCTTTGCAAGCCAAATATTGAATTAAAGTGTCAGCTTCCCAATTTGGAAGTGTTGAGCAGTAATAATTGCCAGAAATTTTTGCCAACTATTCAATAGAGGACTGTTGCTAAGAGTCAGGGAAGATTTCTTCTACAAAAAATGTTTCCAAAGGTCCGCCGCATGTATAAAGTGTTGAGGTGGCCTCCTCAGCCAGTTGCCAGCAGCTTTGGTTTTGTTTGTATCGTTATATCAAATACTAGGTCGTGTCTAGTGTCACTAGTCGCTCCTAAGGCAGCTCCGTCACACGTGCATGGATATACACCAAAGCTGCAAAACAGGTGCGCCACTAGAAACTGTCTTGCTTGCCACCCCACCTGAATTAAGTAAGGACAACCTTAGAACCCAAGGATGATCGCACCTAAGTTTTGTGGTGACGATGTTTTGCGCCAGCTTGGGACAACCGCAGTCGTTCATGTGTTTGTTTTGTTTACTGCCTCAAGTTGTCTTCTCTGCCACAAGTGCGAAGCTGCTGACCTTTGTGCCCAATCTAATAGTACTCTGGTTACATGCGAGGTGCCCACTTCGCTGGGGCACGGTGTGCTGTCACTGGCTGCAGAGCTTTTTCCAACGACGGAAAGGCCACTGGGACACATCTTGGCCCCGACTACAGTGCAGCACAAAAATTTGTAGAACTTTGCGTGATATAGTTCTTTTTTTTTATAGGATGTGAAAAATGCTGAGAAATACGCTTGAATGAATATAAAGGAACGCCAACCTATGCGGATTGATCTGGCTCATGGAAAGAGGTGGCGTTAGACGAAATAACGAAGTTCATTGGACATCTGATTTATAGAGGGCTTATTCACATTACTGGCGTCCATATATATCGAACACCTGGAGGCTCTTACCAAAAAAAAAAAAAAAAAACTGAAGAAAGTGTATTTTACTTGTGTCTCGGGAAAAACAGAGCAATGCTTCACTGCATGGCACGAGCAATGAAGCAGCACCTTGGTTCTGATTTTCTTTGTCTATGTGAATAGAAACATCTTATACAACATTTAATATTCTTTATACTGTTTCTGGGTCATTTATCTTTAAAATATATATTCAGAATTTTATTTGCTTTGAATATTTTTACATATATAGAGCTTTTTATTGTGCTTCTTACCAGCCGGCAATCAAAAATTACACTTTTCCCTTTTTTAATCATTCCAAAATACTTTTGTTTCTCTACAACATATATTTTTTGGAAAAAGCATTTCATTGTGCAAAATTTCGTATGCTGCAGTGCATGCTGGAGTACTTTTTAAACTGGTAAAAAGGATCTTAACGAGACAGAGAAAAAATAACAATTTTCATGAGGTAATGAAAGAGTTAAGGGGGAAATCTGTATTGAATGAAGTGAACTTGTGCCCAGCAATACAAAGAATATTCATGGTACGAAAGCGGTGTAGGGACAGTGATACATTATTAACTATTCGATCTTCAAATCTAGCAAGTTGGCTATTTATACACGAGTTGTGGTACATTTCAGCAGAATTTCTGGTGCCCTTTGCATTTCAGATTATACCTTATGATTCATGCAGTGCACACAATCTGATTGGAATAATATAAACCATTCTAGTATGTTCCAATACATTTAGGCACAACTGTGCCGAGTGGTAACACCTGTAACAGTTTTAGTACCTAAAACTCAAACTCAGTTACACTAAAAAAGAAGCAAGTTATAATATTTTGCTTTCTTGTTATAATATTTCGCTTTCTTGTTATAATATTTCGCTTATCCTTATCACAAGGCATTGTACCCGCAGATTGGCGCATCGCTCGAGTAATACCAATTTTCAAAAAAGGAAATAATCTCCTCATAACCAAGTATAGGCCGATATCCCTTACAAGCACGTGTTGTAAACTGCTGGAGCACATCATTTCAAATTACAAGGTAAATTTTTTAGATGCGCGAAATGCTCTATCACCATTCCAGCACGGCTTCCGTAAAGATCTTTCTACAACTACCCAATTAATTTCTTGTGTCCATTCATTCTCCTCAGTACAAGATAAATCAGGCCAAACCGATGTAATTTTCATTGACTTCAGCAAGGCATTTGATTCTATACCGCACTCCAAACTAATTCACAAGCTTAATCTGGTAGGTTTTCCCTCTACAATTGTTAAATGGGTTGAATCATATTTAAGTTCACGTACACAGTTTGTTGACATAAACGGTCTTCATTCTAACCCTCTCCCTGTTAACTCCGGTGTTCCCCAGGGAAGTGTCCTTGGGCCTTTGCTTTTTCTTACTTATATTAATGATATTACATTGGCAACAGGTGTAGAAATCCGCTTATTTGCCGATGATTGTATCTTATTCCGTTCAATCAACTTTTTAAATGATCAGATAACGCTGCACCAATCTGTCGAAGCCATATCTGCGTGGTGTGACCGCTGGGGAATGAATGAAAACCCTGATAAAACTATGTTCATGCGCATCACTAACAGGAAACAGCCGTTTATTTACCCGTACAGTATAAAAGAGACCCAAATTTTACTAACAGAAAGTTACAAAATATCTTGGCGTAACAATCACTAACAAACTAACTTCGTCTTCTCACATTGAAAAGATTTGTTCATCTGCACGTAGGAAATTAGGCATGCTAAGGCATAGACTCAGTAGTTCTCCCCCCAGTACTAAACTTCTAGCTTATAATACAATAATCAGGTCTGGTTTGGAATATGCATGTGAGGTGTGGGATTCACATACTAAAACAGATATTAACAATCTAGAGAAAATCCAAAGGTTAGCCGTCCGCTTTATTTTCAACCGATTTCGCCGATCTGATTCCCCAACTGAACTAATGCATGATAACAAAATTCAAACTCTAGAATGTCGCAGGAAAATTGCAAGACTAAAACTTCTTTTCTATCTATCCAGCAAAAAAGTGTACTTGAGCTATCAAATATTCTTTCTCCATTATCTTCGCGTCCAACTAGACGATATCATTCACAAAAATTCACTCCTATCTTTGCTCGAACTAACAATTTCAAATACTCTTTCTTTCCTCGCACATTAACAGAATGGAACGAACTACCACATCAAACTTTTGAATCTGGAAACGTGTTAAGGTGTATTGAAAATTTTTTTTGAAGTAACTTAGATCTTGTACCCTAATGTGTTGTATATTTACCTGTTAGTTTGTGCCTCTTGTATTGTTACTTTTTTTGGTCATATCCTCATACTGTACCACCCCCCTCTTGCCTAGGCTATTCTTAGCCTGCAGTATTTTCTAAATAAATAAATAAAAATAAATGAAATAAAGAAAGTATATAAGCCAAGATTTTTTCGACTTGAGCTTGGGTTAGTGGTAGATAAGAGTAACACGTTTCTTTTATTCTTACTCCATACTTTCCACCTTTGCTTCACCAGCATATTGTTAGCAATACTAGTCTTATATAATCCACTTTTATACATAACCTGGTTTTCAAACCAAGAAGTTAAATCAAATATATTGTAAATTAGATATATTATAATCACTGCAAATACAAATGAAATAAAAAATAATTAGGATGACTTCAATGCATAATATACGTATCAACACAAATATATATGATGGTATGGCACAGCTATAAAAGTTGGTAAATAGAAGATTATATAATGCAAATGTCACTCACTTGCAACGTGAGCTGCGGCAATGTTTGTGAAAAGAAGCCATTTTGCGAGAGCACCTGCGTTGCCTGTCCCAGGTTCACTTGATCATTCTGGCTATCAAACAAGACTCCTTGTAACTGCTGCAAGATGTCCAGGTTCACACAAGAAGCAGAGATTACAATAAAACACTGCATGCCACAAACCTGTCACATGGACTTAGTTGAACTACTGTTACTATGAAATATGTCACATCTTTTTCCGGACACATTCCCAATTTCTAAACGGTACATAACAAAGCATTCAATGAATGACAGGCAAGCTTGTGCATAACTTCTATCATTTGTAACTACCAGCTGCCTTTGTAATAGTTTGTACCCAACATAATTACTTTTCTAGTAAACTGTACTGACATGTTACAAGCAAGTCACTCATGAAGTAATGGGAAATGATCTGTTTGTAGTCTTCAGGCATGCTGCTCTCATTACCCCCCAAAAACCAATATTCCGAGCAAAAAGTATGACAAATGCAAGATAGCTACAGCTTTGGCCTACAAATACTTGGTCCTGTAGCCTTTTTCGGCTATTTAGCCCCTTTATTGTTTGGACAACTTGTCCTTGCCAAGCTGTGCCCCAACCGTTTTAGAGAAGTGTGGCTCATCCGCTTAAGATATTTCTCCATGAGCATTTTGAACAAGACTCAATCGTTTCCAGGCTAGTTCATGTGTCACTTCACAGATGGCAGGATTTGGTCGGCAATTTTTAAAAATCTTATCCACCATTTGCACATTTCTTCCCAACTTGTGCGTAGAAAATGTCCAGTGAAGGTGATTCATGCATTGCTCATGCATCATCGCAAAAAAGGAGCCTCTTGTCATCATGCAGTTCTTCAAGCGCTGATGATTCAGATTCCAAAGTTTACTTTGATGATTTGACGTGTTATATTTGGCAGCTTCTTGATGATGACATTATTTTACGGATTGTGAAAGACACTAATTGGCCGTAAAACTTGAGTCAATATATGTGCCAGGTTTTTTTTAATGTCAATTAAATTATGCTTTTTAGAAGCAAAATATTTGATACCAAATTAAAAAAACACATTGACAGAAAATCTCACAAACAATGAAATGATTAGAGGTAAAGTGAAATGGAAGAGGATCTTGAATATTGCAGAAAGAGCAATCACATTAAAGTGGCAGTGTTGCCCAACTATGGCTGCATTCATCCCAGAGATTGTATTTTATCCAATGGCTTAAGTCATCGATGAAACTGAAATACTTCACAACCACAGAAGTGCTTTTCTTTCTGACTTGGGCAGCAGCTTTTCAGTGCATTACCCATATACCATGCACAGTGTTTGCATACAGTTCCACCTTTATGACTCTGTTCCTCACTAGGTTGCCGCCAATATTGAAAAGATCTCAGTCGCAGTGATGTGATTGGTGAAAGCCAATTTAGCGCAGCTACTAGAGCAACCAAAACCTCACTTTGGAGCAGCATAACAACCGTTCGGAGCAGTTAGTTGCCGCAGATCCTTGGGAGCACATATCTAACTTGAAGCCAGAGTAGCTGCAGCACATGCCAAATGAAATCTATTTATAGATGCATGCATGCACGTTCATTTGCAGTACTTCTAAACATGAAACTAGGTCACTGCTCTTCACTTTTCTGCAGACATCCCGAAGTTAAGTCCAGTCAGCTTGAGCTACCCAACACTTCCCAAAAATTAAATTGGCGTTTGTAAATGATTATGGCTTTCCCTGATGCTTTATTCACAATAGTTGAAGCACAAGCTGTCTAAATTTCCCATGAGCTCTATTCACTACGCAGAAATTCACGCAGCTTTGCCCTGGTGGTGCCAAACCTGAAGGGAGTGAGGGCAGTTTTCTTTGCTTTCTTTTCAATATTTTCCTTCTTTCTGTTTTCTCAGCCTTCTTCTTATTTCTATATATTTCTATTTTTCTTCCCATTTCTTTCCTTCATTTCTCTCTCTTTCGTGCTTGTCATTTTTTTTTCTATTTTTATAAGTGGCTTTGCCTGCGTAGCATGCGACAGCCTGAGTCCCTCAAGTTCTCCGCATTCAATATCACCATCAAAGCCCTCGAAGAACAAGAGAAAAGAGATTTCTCATTGACGCGAGCGCGCATTCAGTACGCATAGGACTGCATACGACCAGCCAGGGCCCCTAACGTGATTCACTCAACAAAAAATTTTGATTAGGTTTGTGCTTTTAGTACAATCTAGCTCTTCATTGTGTGGAGAAATGTCTGCTGTCGTTCTTTACGTAGAGTCATCAGGGTCCTGGCTAGCGGGCAGCTAATAAGGACCAAGGTTTCATAACTGGTTGTTCTTATTATTTAATGTGTACTAGTCAACACCTACGATGATAGGAAGAGGGAGCTCGTATTTACATTTAACAAGCTGTTTGACAACTACAGTAGCCGAGATCACGAAGCCCAGCCGAGATGCTCCGAAATACTGAGACACCATGCTTTCTCAGCAAAGCAACAGTCACTGTGCAGCATGTGGTATTGTTGATAAAGCCTGCCCATCGTATGGCTTAAAACATATACACCCTGCATGAAATCTTTTAGAAGTAAACTAGAACAAATAGCACTACAAATGTAAAATGAATTAAATGGCCAGTTCTACATGCATGTATTGAATTGCTGGCCAGCTCTACACGCACATATTGAAATATAATCAATCACATAAGACTATAATCTAAGAACAACTGTAGGCCAACACTACTTTTGTTTTACTGTAACCACAACAGTTCAAAACTATACTTTATTGAGCTCAATACTGTTATCTCACAGTATGGTCTAGGTATGGCGCATCTAACTCAGTAAGTTTCACATTAAGGGTGAGTTGAAATTGTTTGTAAGCCTTGTGACCAGCGACTACTTCAACTACACAGCACTGTTCTTTCTCCTGCGATGAACACTCGAAATTCCAGGGCTTATGTATGAATTCGGAGTGCCTACCATCTTGTTTTTCACTGAAAGAATGCTAACACAATGTTTTGGCACAAGCTTGGCACAAGTATTGAAGTTTTTGTCAATATTTAGTGGGAGATAGCAGGTTTTGCCTCTTGGTGCTGTTTGGTGGAATTAACACAGCTATCACATGACTGTAATCATCAAAAGCTTGTAGACATGAAACTAAAATAAAATGTATACAACACATATTAAGGTACTACTCCAAGTAAAATTCCACTTCTGCCTAAAATGAACAAACATCAAAGGAACATTGCACAGCATAGTGTTGCAGACAGCAAATAGCCAAGAAAGGTATAAACAAAATAATCCAGATGCACAAGAAAGTCGAGACGATTTCAAAGAAAGCCCATAGGTGAGCTAGCCTTACATAAATCAACTCCAAGTATTCCTGGAAAGTAAGACGGACTACCGTGATTTATTTACCCACTGTTTTAAGTCAAAGAATTCTATATATATTCCAATTCTACCTGAACATAACTTTACGCTACAACTATACTGACAAATAACCAGTGAACTACAATGCTATAATCAGATAATAGAGCACTTGCAGCAAGAGCACTGAAGTAAACACACATCACATGTCAAGAAGTCGTCCCAAGGTGTGGGCTTTGTTCTGTACACTGTTTCCACTTATAATGAAGGTAAACCAACCAGCTGTCAACCAGGTGTTGTTACAGTGGACCAACATTCGTAAATTACAACCTTTGAGCACCTTTTCAATCAGGATTAGAAAAATAAAAAACAAAAGTACAAAAATTGTGGTAATTTTTCGTAATGTTCCTGTAAACAGATAGAAACCAATGTTTCAGTATAAAATAACAAAAGAAGCTAAGCAAGATTCATGTTCTCTGTATAAATACTCTTACCATGAAAGTAAGAAAAAAAGGACGGAAAAGCATATCACAGCATATCGAATGCAGAACAACTGTAAAAAATTAAGCCGATACTAGTAAAAGCAATATGTAAAAACAAAAAAATGGGCACCAGTTACAACAAGGATATGCATTAAATTATATAATGTGTTATATCACGCTAAACCAAAATTTATGGGGCTTTTCCCAATCTTGAGCCGGAGTTGGAGTAAGAAAACAAAAAGAAAGATAGGTCGTCTTCTAAACTTACTTCCACACCAGCTCTATCATGAGAATGCGTATTTTGAGAATGTGTAAATATAACAAAATAACGTAGTATATCGCACTTCAAAACTCCACATCTATATCCCATTACAGCCTTACCCGCACACATTTGTGGGTGAACAAAGACTCCGACAGAACGGCACGTGCCTCAGTTTCAGTTTTATAACTGTGGGCTGCTCACATTAATGTTTCCGAGAATATATCTGCTTCAGTAGTTCATGAATTTCTTCACTAGAAGGCGAGCTATCACCCAGGGAAAATGGCGTTGGAGCACGAGCGCCAACGACGGCTCCCTCTCACTTCTAAGTCAATATTCCTGCATGTCATACATTTTCTTTTCGGTAGCATATTGTAACGATGTTGAAGAACTCGGGGGTGTAATAAAACGTATTTATTAAAGGGCAAACCTGTGCCCAAAACTCAAAGGGACTATAATCGTAAAACGTTACAGCCGAACACCAAAGATGTCCGCCTTCTTCTTTCTCTTCAAAAGGAGTCCCGAGCACATGGCAAACATCAGCCGGGTCCAGCTGGGAGCTCGTGCTATCATCATCGTCTCTGCGCAACGCTAGACAGCGTGCATGTATGTCCCTGTACGTGTGGTGATGGGCGCATTGTTTGAATGCAGGCAAGACGTCTCGGCATAATTCCCCTCCTCATACGCATCGTCCTGATGCGTCAGGCAATGAATAGATTCCTGGTAGGCATCACTAGTTTTCCAATGATCTTTCATAGAAAGGCTTCATGCGCACTACATGTACAACCTCTGTAGGGTTGCGGCGTTTCGAGCTCCCGTGTATAGCGGATCTGACTTGGTACGTTACATCGCTTACACGATGGAGTACTTCGTAAGGCTCGAAGTATCGGCTAAGAAGTTTTTCAGAAAGTCCACGGCGACGCACTGGGGTCGATTTCCATACTTTGTCACCTGGTTGCAAATGTCCTTCGGTACGACGCTGATTGTACCGGTAGGAGTCGATACGCTGTTGGCGGCGTATTCTGTATC